TACTGGTTTCAAGAAGCACTGTCTGAACCATGCCTCGCAGAAAAGAGCTCTCAGAAGACCTACAATCAAGAATTGTTGACTTGCATAAAGCTGGAAAGGGTTACAAACGTATCTCCAAAAGCCTTGATGTTCATGTGTCCACGGTAAGACAGACTACAAATGGAGAAAGTTTAGCACTGTTGCTACTCTCCCTAGGTGTGGTCGTCCTGTAAAAATGACTGCAAGAGCACAGCACAGAATGCTGCATGAGGTAATGCTGCATGAGGTAAAGAAGAATCCCAGAGTGTCAGCTAAAGACCTACAGAAATCTCTGGCACATGCTAACATTTTTGTACACACATCTACAATAAGGAAAACATTAAACAAGAATGGAGCACATGGGAGGACACCACGGAGGAAGCCATTGCTGTCCAAAAAGAAGATTGCAGCACGTTTGAAGTTTGCAAAAGAGCACCTGGATGTTCCACAGCACTACTGGCAAAATATACTGTGGACAGATGAAACCAAGATTGAGTTGTTTGGGAAGAACACACAACACTATGTGTGGAGAAAAAAAGGCACATTACACCAACATCAAAACCTCATCCCCACTGTAAAACATGGTGGAGGGAGCATCATGGTTTGGGGCTGCTTTGCTGCCTCAGGGCCTGGACGGATTGTTGTCATTGATGGGAAAATGAATTCCAGAGTTTATCAAGACATTTTGCAGGAAAACGTACGACCATCTGTCCGCCAACTGAAGCTCCGCAGAGGATGGGTGATGCAACAGGACAATGACCCAAAGCATACAAGTAATTCAACAAAATAATGGCTGCAACAGCACAGAATACGCCTTCTGGAGTGGCCCAGTCAGAGTCCTGACCTCAACCTGATTGAAATGCTGGGGCATGACCTTAAGAGAGCGATTCACACCAGACATCCCAAGAATATTGCTACACTGAAACAGTTTTGTGAAGAGGAGTGGTCCAAAATTACTCCAGATCGTTGTGCAGGTCTGATCTGCAACTACAGGAAACGTTTGGTTGAGGTTATTGCTGCCAAAGGAGGGTCAACCAGTTATTAAGTTCAAAGGTTCACATACTTTTTCCTCCCTGCACTGTGAATGTTTACATGGTATGTGCAATTAAACCATGGCAACATCTAATGTTTGTGTAGTATTATGTTCAGCAGACTGTGTTCTTCTATTGTTGTGACTTAGATGACGTTCAGAGCACATTTTATGCCCAAGTCATGCAAAACTCCACGTAATCCCAAGGGGTTCACATACTTTTTCTTGCAACTGCATATGCTACCTTATTCATGCTCCTCCGCTGTGTTGTTCTGTGATGCTCTCCAAGGTTCCCCAAATGCTTCTTGTACTCAGAAGTATTGAGTAAATTACACAGTTGCACTGACAGAGCAACAGAGCAGCAGGGGTGCGTTTTGGTAAAGAATAAGTGGCTCCAGTGATGGGTTTAAAAGAACCACTCAAGGCAAAGGAAAAGGGTCGCTTTAAAAAAAAAAAATTCTATGTTCTGCCAGAGAGGGTTTTTAAAATATCTGTTTGAGTCATAAAAAATATGTAATTTCTTTGAAATCTAAACCTAAAATCCTGTCAGGCTTATACTGACAAAAGCCAAACCATATTACTTAGCTTGGCTGGGAGGAAGAGTTAGCAACAATCCTTAAAATACACAGAGCAGAAGAGCGAAGCGATCGGATCTATCTGTGAGCGCTTAACGATGCTGTTTGCTCTGTGAAATCATTTATAATGGTTTTATGTGTAAATAAAAAAGTCAGAACTTGGGTGGATTTAGAGCAATTACCCTCTCAATGTTTTATTTGTACTTAAAGTGTCTTACCGGGATTATTGAAGAATTAACATGCAATAATTCAACCCTTACAGCAGCAAATCCCCTAACCTTTGATTCACCTAAACAGAGAGAGAGAAAGTTGTTCATGAAGGGCTCCAGAACAACTTCGAGACATAGAAAATAAGTCAGCTTTGATGCCAAATCGGGCTGTATACATAAAGTTGGCTGGCTATGTCAGTTACACGTTGGTTAACATTCTAAACTTGCAGCTCAATGCTTCGTGATAAATTCCCATAAGACACATAGCCATGGAGTTTGTATGGGCCTCCTCCCACAATCCAGGGCCTTACTAGAAGGTTTAAGGGTAAACCTGTAATTCTTAGAAAAACAGTTTAAGAGGAACTTCACTCTTTCAATCAACAATGACAATTTTTCATCCTTATGCTGCTAGCATTAATAAATAGATAGTAAGGTATCATATATTTACTAGCTTTACACTTTTTTTTTTACATTTCTGCTGTTGCTTCCCAGTTTTCAGGCCTAGACAAATGATGTCATACATCCCAGGAGTCTTCAGGGTGGGAGGAGGGGTTTTATCAGCTAAGCACACCCTCCTACCTGCATGCCTGAGCTAAGGGCAGATGGATTCCAGGAAGTAATTGCTACATGAATCATCTGCCCTTACTCAAGATGGCCATGGGCAGAAATGCAATGGGATGTTTTTCAAAGAGATTTCTAAGCAAAAAATGGAGACATGGATGGATGGGGGAGTTTGCTTCGTATATTAAAAATTATTTAAATAGCATTTTATGTGGTGCTCAGATGCAGTTTTAGTTCTGCTTTAAAGTATAACTAAACTCATCTCTGATCCAGCGATTTTCTTTTCCGGAGCTCCTCGCCCAGCCGCTGTCGTTGGCCGGACAGGGATGACATCACTCCTGCAGATTCAGCACTGCCAAATTTGTACAGTGAGCTGTGCCTGTGCAGTTCACTGTACAGGGGCGGACAGGTAGGTAGGTAGCTTTAATGCAGAAGAGATATTTGTTTTTAATGGTTGAACTGGATGGACTTTTGTCTTTTTTCAGCCAGAATAACTATATAACTGTGTAACAAAGCATGTCTCTTCTGCCTTTTCACCCATTTTTAATTTTTAGGTTCCACTTTAAGAGACTGTGATTAGGTTTTCCTGAATAAAGGCATGCAAAGTAAATAAAGTCATCAGTCTGCTCTAGGTAAAGGAAAGTATCTCAATCTCCTTTCTGCCATTAATCACTTACTGGGAGTGTATCCTTTTATGTATCTGGCAACTCTGAAAGCGACATGAAGCTGCAGAGATCAGATCCCTGTGAGACTATGAGTCCGCACATCCAAGAATTTAGGGACTACTGCACAGGCCCTGGTATTCCCATTATTGTGTCATCACCAAGCCAGGATTGACATTCCTGTGCAATTAACCAGTTGCCGCCCGGCCTATAGCCAGATGGCGGCCGGGCAAGCAGCTCGTCCCTCCGGGTGGACGCCATATGGCATCCTTTCAGGCATGCGCAATGCGCCTGTCCGCGGGGCCGCTCTGCGGAGTGATCTGTCACCGGTCGTGTACTTCGGACATGGCCGATGACAGATCTGTGTACCGGCCCCATTTCCAGTACCATGTAACCTACTGTGTCATGTGATTAGCCGTGGCCAAATCACAACTAAGCACAAAAAAAAAAAAAAACCCTGAATGAATCAATGTCATTCAGGTAAATGCTTGCTTATAGCAAAGTAATTCTTTAGTAACATTCTACTACTTTGGTCATAGTGAAATATGACATAAAAATCTTAAAAAAAGAGAAAAAATTTAATAAAAAATTAAAACTTAAAAAAATTAAAAAAAATTGTCAATTTTTTTTTTTCGTACTGTCACCAGTCAGTGTCCTTGATCACTGCCATGCCAGTTATATGATTACACTGTACTGCACTGGTGGCAGTATGTAAAAATAAATAGTGAAAATAATTTTTTTAATTTTTTCATTTTCCAAAAAATTATAGCAAAAAAATTACAACTTCAAAAAACTTGCGATGCCTCTTATGAAATACGTCGGACTGTCTACTCTGCAAAAAGGGGTCATTTGGGGGATATCTGTACTGTTCTGACATTCTTGGACCTCAAGAAATTAGATTGTCAGTACTTCAGGATTGATCAATATTCAGATCTATACCATAGTTTGTGAACTCTATAACTTTACTACAAACTAAATAATACATCCTAATTTGGGTTATTTTCACCAGATAAATGTAGCAGAATACATCTTGGAATAAATTTATGAAGAACAATTATTTATTTGCAAACTTTTATAACAGAAACAAACCAAACGTGGGTTTTTTTTTCAAAATTTTTGGTCTTTTTTTGTTAATTTTGCAAAAAATAAAAATCCCAGCGGTGATTAAATACCACCAAAAGAAAGCTCTAGTTGTGTGAAAAAAATGATTAAATTTTAGTTTGGGTACAATGTTGTATGACCGTGCAATTGTCATTCAAAGTGTGAGAGCGCTGAAACCTGAAAAATGGCCTGGGCAGGAAGGGGGTAAATGTTCCCTGTATGGAAGTGGTTAAAGACATTAGATTTATACTCCTCTCTCTAGCAGCCTATGTCCTACTTTCCACCTCTGTTCCAACAGTCTCCATCAGTCCCTTTGGCATGAAGCCCCTTCCACAATCTAAGGCACAGTTCTCCAACCTGAATCCTTGTTGAGTCCTGTGATGATGTATTTATTTTGCATTTTATTGCAGAGCATGCATGCTCTCTACTCACTTCCAAATAGTAGGGCTTAAGTCCTCGGACTTGCCTTTAAAGTTGTGGGGGAAGGCATGTGGCCACTTTTTTGTGTGCTTCACTTTCTTATTGCATGTGGTGCACCACATCTCGGAGCTTCAAAAAAAAAAAAAAGAAAAAGAAAGAAAAGAGGTTAGAAGAAGAAACCACTGTATGTTGGTGCTGGTAGGACACAAGCTTATGACACCCCTAGAACTGCTGAATTGCAAAGACACTAATGGAACAAGCCTGAAAGGGAGAAAGGTAGACAATATGGGCCGTTGGAGTTGTGAGAGTACCATCTCCTCTATTGTAGAAAAGTACCATTCAGGGACGGACTGACCATTTGGAAACTCAGGCACTGCCCGAGGGCCCAGGGTCAGTAGGGGGCCCCATAAGATGCCCCTGGTACCTTTTTCATAGGCTTTTTTGAGTTTGGGCAAGGACACAGGGGCCCCATGATCCCCTATTGCCCGGGGGCCCCGTGAGTTGTCAGTCCGCCCCTGGTACCATTTTTAGTTGTTTAGTGCCCGGAAAGGATCCCTTCAAAAAGACCGTATCACCAATTTAAAAAATTAAAAAGTAAAAGCACAGAGTTCAAGTAGTTTAAATGCTTCCTTGCAATGTTTTTCCTTTCCAAAAATATATTTTTTTACTTGCAATCTGCTTTTAAACTTGATAAAAACCTCAAGTACTCTAATAAATCAATTCCCTAGGACTGCTCCCTCCTTACACATCACAGAGCTCTCCTGCTTTGGGAATGTCTAACTACTGTGCTGGCCAAGCTCCTCCATTCCTCTCTTCACCTGCCTACCATAACCGTACAAGGAGAAAAGAGAAGAAAAGAAATATAGATTGCCACTTGGATGACAGCTCTAAGTCTGCTGGGTTGTTGCCATTACATCCAAGATGGCAGCACTCAGTAGCAGTCTCAGGGCTTTTGGTTGTCTTCAAAAGGCTGGCTTTACAGGTCATCAACATGCATAAAATGTGTTAAATGTAATCTTATAAAAGGATCTATTTTCCATATGGATGATGCAAATCTACTCTGTAAAGAATATATTTGTGGTATATAATTTTGATAAAAATAATCATTATGCCTCTATCATATATTACTATTATACACATGATGAGAATTTCAGACAAAAAAAATCACTTTTGGAGGGACCGTACTATAATCTGATCGTTAGTACACAACTTTTTACAGCCGATCACGACAGTTCATACAAAAATATCCAAAGCAACAACCATGAAAATTTTGTTTAATCAGTACAGTATTCATCCTCAAAAAAAATCAGGTGACCAAGACTGCACATGCTAAGAAATGAAAGAATATATTACAATATAATACATTACTTCACTTCCGAAGTTGTATTCTGTCGTATGAGAATGTTCATAACTTTAGTAGCCTACTCCTTTTCGATGTGAACCAAGTTTCTATTGAATTGGATGATATTCAGCCCATGTGTACACAGCTTTAGAAGATAAGTGACAGCACTGGAGATAAGTCACTTGCAACAATTTCATAACATACAGTGCCTAAAATGTCAAGGCATTACTTACATTTATCCCCAAACCTTCCACTCCCCATCCAGAGCATGTCCCAGCATTGTTTTTTAACTTGTAAGTTGCTTTTTTGTAGTCTGAAACAGGTTTTTTTACTCCTTGTGATTATGGATGAGCTTGGGTTTGACCCTCTGTTTGGTCCACATCAGAGTTCATCCAAACATGGAAGGCAACTGCCAGGTCAATGAGCTGTGGGTGGGGGGGGGATTCATGCACACAAAAGGTCATGGATGGTTGTAACATCATTGACCTAATGGCCATGGATTGCCCCACCCACTGCTCCTTGTCCTGTAATTGACAGCTGCTTTCTGGGTTCACACCAAACCCAAACTCATCCCCACTGGTGACATCATTACCAGGTTTTCAAAATTCTTGCAGGGGAACCTGCTGGACAGGCAGTTGCTCTTATTGTAGGCATGTCCCCAAACTACATCTCCCAAGATCCTTTTCCCCATTTCCAGTCTCTTAGGAGTCAAGGCGGCATAAGAACATAGAAACATTGGGGTTGATTTACTAGGCACATAGATTGAGCACTTTGCAAGAACAGTTGGACCAGAGCTTAGTAAATAAGCATAAGCTCTGCTGACTTCTATCATCCAATCATATTGGATGCACATGATTGGGTATTCTTTGCAAAGTGAATCTTTACCTCATTTACTAGGCTCTGGAGCAACTGCTCTTTCAGAGTGCACAGTCTTCTTGCCTTTAGTAAATCAACCCCATTGTCCGTGTATAGATCAGCAGTATTATTTTGTTCTGGGAAATACATCAAGTATGAATGTGGAAAGGGATAGAGGAGGCTGGATGATAGGCAGAGTTCTGTAGTCCAGCAGAGGAGAACTCGGACAACACTGCTTGGGAATTCAGTGAGGCATAGACACTGTGTTGTCAGCAGGGCCGTCTTAATAGCATCATGGGCCCTTGGGCAAAGTAATAACTAGTATAACTGGTTGATAGAAATTAAACAGATACAGTATTTTTATTATTACTTTTAATAAAATCAATTTTAAACAATAAGAAAACCTGCCATAAATCAAAGACTAATCAACACAAAGGACATAGTACAGGGGGAAAGCAGGAGAACACAATACGATGGGAGGGGGGATCCGGGACAGCTTTGTTAAAAGTGTGACTGTCCCTGCAAATCCAGGACAGTTGGCAAGTATGATGTAATGTAAAATTATCATGGGGCTCCCAAGCACCTTTGGCCTCTGGGTAGCGAACAGGGGTGCCCATGCATTAAGACAACCCTGGTTGTCAGTTCGAACAGGGAGTTAGGAGCACACTATATTTCTGGCAGGTCAAAGATAATTTTTTCTGCTTTTGCAGATTTTTTTAAAACTTGGGTAAATGTGCAGAGTGTAAGCTGTTATGAGCCGGGCCCTCTGAATGGTATTGTATCTGTGCTGTCTCCCTCCATGTTGTAAAGCATTGCAAAACGCAAACTGTTGGCTCTATATAAATCCTGTAGAGTAATATTGATGATAATAATGTATTGCAAAGATGTTCTGACTGTGTTTATTTTATCTTACATACATTTTAAGCTGCCTGATAGGAGCAGATATGCCCTCTTCTTCTTCTCTGTAAGCAGTAATTGGATCTGGAGCAAGTGTTTCCATCATAGGTGACCCTTATATGCATTGCTGGCGTGGGTGCTGGAGACAATGGAAGGAGTTGTATGAGAATCAAATATACACACTAGCATGGGCCTCACCCAATTGTATTTACCATACTAACTGTTATAGATACCTTAGGGGATATCTGTCAGTCTAGGGTGGTTGTACAAAGGGCGACTACACACAGAGTAGCCCTGAACCAACCTTTCCTAGCCGATTGTTTGCCTTTAGGGGCACCTTTAAATGTACACTGAATCTATTCCCATCCTAGGTGGCTGGCTGGAGTTTTGGCAAGAAGGGGGACCTGGAATCTGATAAGATTCTGCTCCCAGTCTGTAGGAACTGTAAACCTCCAGGCGTCAGTCTGCAGCTTTCTATCCAGCCCAAAGTGTCACCCTGATGAAAAGAAACAGACTAATGAGTTTTTAATTACTGGAAAACGCCTAGAAGTCACCAGACACTTCCAGGAGGCACCTGCACGTTCACAGCAAGAGGGTTGGGCCATCAGAGAATTTAGCAGCGCGATCGTGGGTTTGATACACTGTAGCAAATCTGTCTGTTTGGGGACTACAATTCCAGACTTGACTTTAACCTTCATTTCCAATACTGCATGAAGCAGCCATGCTCTCCATTAATTGTGCAACTGGAAGGTTCAGCATGGCCTTGAATTTCTAATTTTACAAATCCTGCCATAATTGATGCTCATCCTTTATATCCTGGGTTTCATAAAATGTGATCTCAAGAATTGTCTTTGGATTTAACACTAATCTTCAACTGAAGGTAATTTATATTTAAGGGCAGGTGCCCTTATAATCACCTTCTCACCACCACATTTACCCGAATGTAAGCTCCATGTTAAGTTGGTCAGAGCTTACACAAGGCTTAGGACTCTTCTTCCACCCCTATATGACAGCACCAGTGACTGGCAACTTGGTGCCATTTTGGCACTGAGCACTTCATTATGCGTGCATGGTTAACTGCTCAGCCACCAAGTACTGCATCATGGGGGAAGGGAAAGAATGACATGCTCCCCGTACTCAATCTATATGGGACCAACAAGAGGCTGCTTATAACATGAATTGCCGTATGAGTACTTGTTACAAATTCTGTATATAGCCATAGAGAACAGACAGCGCACAGTCCATATGTGCTTATCTACTTCACTGCAACAAGGAAACAGGAAACTTTACTATTCAGAGAAAAGACATAAAGTTTATCACAGATGCAGCTACAAACTTATAAACACCGCCATCTACTGGTTGAAGAATATATCTTTACCGAAGACTGATGTAGTTGTTGCAGAAAATACATGAACACTGGATTCCAACAGCTCCTTGTACATGGAATTTTTCTCCTTACATCATTTAATTGAACAATCCTGAAAGGATGCTAAGCCGAGCTGTTTTTTTTTTCCCCATCATTTTTTTTTTAGTAAGAAGTTTCTCAGATGAGCTACATCTGGGTTATGTTACATTGTTGCGGTTGCACTGAAAACAATGTTATTCCTCATATTTGGCTTTCTGTTTATTTTTCCTGTGGGGAAGAATATCACCATTCATATACAAGCTTGTGTCAGTGGTGATGAGATATAGTGGATGACGTACTGTATATACAGACAGTGGGACTTAGGAGCAGAATATAGAATTTGGGGAATAAGAGGATGATTGACAAGCAGCTGCTTCCAAAGAAAACAAACTAAACACCCCCTCCAATCCTTGTGCATACCCACTATCAATATAACTGTTAAAGCTGAACTCTAGGCAAAACACCAATTACAGAGATGAAATAATTAAAGAGAGGTGTTGTTTCCTGCGAAAGGATTTGTATTTCTATCTATTTGGTATTAAGATTTACACAACCCTGCCTATGGCACAGCCCCAAGGGGAAGAGACCCTCTTCTCTTTTCTGATGCAGTTTCACTTTTGCTTACATGTAGCACCAATCCCAAAGGGCCACTGGATGTTTGGGTCTCTCTGCTCTTGGTGTTGAAGATCCCCTAAATAGAACCACACTCTCCGACACACCTTGGGGCTGAAGAATGGGTCATTTATTTGGGCTATGCATTCAACAAGGTAAAACAACATAAATTAACAGCAGCTTCAACAAGTAATAGCAAAATAAACAGTGGGTATCAGTAACACATGTAGTGCTACCCTCTTGAAAGCCACTGGCTTTGGGTCCCCTTCATTTCTTGCACAGCCAGGCAACACACATTTTTTACTTGCATTCAGAAATAAGAAACAGTCCATGGGTCTTTTTTTTTTTATTAGGGTATTTAACTTCAATAGGGCATAGGGCAGTGAT